GCCGCCGCCGGGCAAAGCCCGCGCGGTGGCGGCGGCGGTGGGGCCTTCCGTTTTTTCTTTCCTCCAGCGAGGTCGGGCAGCGCGGGGCCGCTCGGCCGAGGAGAGGCGTGGAGGCGCGCGGCGAACCGGTGCCGGTGGTCGCGACGGGCGCGGCGAGATGGCGTCGGGGTGCGCGGCGGGCGCGGCGACGGTGGCGAGATGGCGCGGCGGGCGCGGCGAGATGGCGTCGGGGTGCGCGACGGGCGCGGCGAGTTGGCGCCGGGGTGTGCGGCGAGCTGGTGCCATGGCGCGAGGCTGCCCGCATCGGGCGTGGCGCGTGGGTTGCGGATGCCTTTGCTGGCACCTGCTGCTCGTTTGGGCACAGTGGGGGTGCGGGGGCGCTGCGGTTGGTTCTGGCCAGATCTGACCTCTGCCAACCTGTGGCTGGAGGGATGGCTCGAGGTGGCATCAGGCGCCGTTGGAGTGTGGCTGCGTTTCGCGCCTAGTCCGGCGATGTGTGGTGGCTGTAGCGGTGGTGTCGGGGATGGTTGGTGGTTGTCTCTCCTTCAAGCGCGTCCACGTCCGGCTCCTGGAGCTGTGGCGCCGTTCAGTTTGTCGTGTGCTACAGAAGGCCCGGACAGGCCAGATCTAGCACGAATAGTCCTGTTCTTGCGCGCGGTGGTGCGAGCTGCACAGTTTGGCCTGGATCCTGCCCAGTCCTGCGCGCGGTGGTGCTGACCGGCTATGTTTGGCTCTCCCTCGGCCTTCATGTGCGCTGCGGTGCGGAGGATCGCCCAGTTCTGCGCACGGAGGTAGAGGATGGCCAGATACGGCTTGGTTCGCCCAGGGCCTGCGAGCGGCGGTGCAGACCGGCCGGGTTGGCGTGTGCTCGCCGAGTTCCTGCATGCGGCTTGACCAATTCGTTTCTAGTAGTGTTGGTTTGGGCTCTTGTTGCATTGTGGAGCTGGTGGCCTCGGATCCTTGGATTGTTGGTGGAAGACTCGGCTCCGGATGAAAATCATGCATCGACTCTGTCGTTGCTGGCGGTAACGGCATCCACGGATGTCGTCTTCCTCCTTGGAGGTATCGTTGTGGAGTCGTTTGCCCTTCCCTCCCAACTGCGTGAGATCTCCGGGTGAAAACCTAAGATCGGCCAATGCCAGATCGGATGACGGCGGAGTCCTCAACTTCGTTTTCCTCCTTGGAGGCGTCATCTTGGTGATCCCGCCGATGGGTTCCGATGGTGTTCACGTTTGATGGTAGAGCCTGTGTTTGTCGTGCTGCCGACAGGGCTTTTCTTTCTTTTCTTTTTGCGCTGCCTTTGCAGTGCTTTCCTCCTCTGAGGATTCTTGTAACACCTTCTTCTGATCAATGAATTTGGCAGTTCACCTGCCAATATTCAAAAAAAAAAATCGAAGGAGGAGAAAGGACAGCGACGGGCAGCAGCTCTTCCACGTCATCCGTCACAAGAAGAACCAACGGGCACACTCGTGCCAGCGAGGACCATGACTTTCGTGGTCTCCAACTTGGTCTCTCGAGTCTACTCTCCACACCTTAACCAAAGGAGAAAGGACAGCGACGGGCAGCAAGTGTTCCACGTCCGTCGGAAGCGCCAACGGGCACACTTTGTGCCACCAAGGTCCGCGGACCATGCCTTTCAGGATCTTCGACGGAATGACGGTAGACGAGAAGAAAACAGTTCGAACCATCCCTCATCTGGAGCTGTCATACAGTATGACAGCACGAACCGCGCCTTTCATTCTACCCCCTCTGTAAACTTTTATAAAACGTTTTAGTGATCTAAACTAAAACGTCTTATAAAAGTTTACAGAGATAGTAAATGCTTTATCTACCACTAAACGGACGGC